AACTCATAATAATAACACAAACAACCCAATTTTTAAAGAGCAAAAGATTTTTTTTTTTTTTTTGTCTTTTTGTCTTTTTTCCGTGTCCGGCAACGGATCGCAACCCTCAGTGTTGCCCCCGTACCGGACCGGGGACCGGCAACGGGATCGCAAGCCTCGGTGTTGCTTCCCGCGCCTCGCTCAGCCAGTGAGCGGGAGCCGGAACGTATGTGGGATCCGAACCCTCGAACGGGAGCGCCGCCGCGCTTCCCAAGCGGCGCACTACCCAGTGCGCCACCGGGCCGGCCCAAAGAGCAAAAGATTTTAACAGATACTTCATCAAGGAAAAATATATGAATGCCTAATAAGCACATAAGAGATGCTTGTGCAGAAGAGTTAACATAACAAGGAGTTTCAAGCTTGCAAGTTAGGCCCTTGGCTGAAACAGATACTTCATCAAGGAAAAATATATGAATGCCTAATAAGCACATAAGAGAGGCTTGTGCAGAAGAGTTAACATAACAAGGAGTTTCAAGCTTGCAAGTTAGGCCCTTGGCTGAAAACTTGGATTTTGGGAGGGTTCCCCCCATTCCTTATAATTATGGTTCACTGTACCTAAACTATTTGTACATTGTGGTTTGTGCTGAACCCCTGCTTTCCTCCTGGGAATCTGGAATTTTGTTACATGGTAAGTAGACGGTGCCTATACAACTGGCCTCCAGTAAAAACCCTGGGCATTGAGTCTCCAATGAGATTTCCTGGCAGACATTTCATATTTCATTTGCTATAGGAATTAAGCACATCCTGCGTGATTCCACTGGGAGAGGGCTCTTGGAAGCTTGTACCTGTTTTTTTTCAGATTTCATCCCATGTGCCTTTTCCCTTTGCAAATTTTGCTGAGTACTTTTACCATAAAAATCATAGCTATGAGTACTGGTATGACTATACACTGAGTCCTGTGAGTCCTTCTAGCAAATCATCAAACCTCAGGGTGGTCTTCAAGACCCCCAACACAATGCACAACATCAATAATCATTAGGGATATACAAATTATAACCATAATGAGGTTGCACTTCACATCCTTTAGAATGGCTATAATCCAACATTGTTTCTGAGTATGTGAAAAAGTGAAACCCTCATATCTTGCTGATAGGAATGTAAAATTGTACAACCGATTTAGGAAACCCTATGGCAGTTTCTTAAAAAGTTAAACATATAGTTACCATATGACCCAGCAATTTCACTCTAAGGTATTTATCCAAGAGAAATGAAAACATATGTCCACACAAAAACTTTATATGAGTGTTCATAGCATTATTCATAATAGCCTAAGAATTGGAAACAATCCTAATTTCCATTAAGTGGTGAATGAACAAACAAAATGTTGTTGTGCATCGTCACACCGTGGAATACTACTCAGCAATCAAAACAAATGAACTAATACCTGCTTCAAATATGGATGAACTCCAGAAACCCTACTTTAAGAGAAAGAAGCCAGATACCAAAGAAGTGTATATTGTATAATTCTGTTTATATGAAATTTCTAGAGAAGACAAATCTATAAAGACAGCAGACCAGTAGTTACCTGGGTCTCAGAGTGTGAGCAGAGATTGAATGTAAAGGAGGACAGGGAAACTTTTTAGGGCTGTGAAAATATTCTACAACCAAGCAGTGGTGCTAGCCAGTTGTTCATTCGGTTAGAGCATGCTGCTAATAACACCAAGGTCAAGGGTTCGGATCCCCTGACCAGCCAGCCAGCAAAAAAAAAAAATTAAATTTAAAAAAAAAAAAAAAAACTGAGCTGTGTTGATGGAACTGTACACTTACATACAACAGATGGATTTTGTAATATGTAAATTATACCTCAATAAAGATTTTTTTTTAATCTCTTACAAAAAGACTTTCAGTATCATTTATTAAATTACAATTGTTTTGAATATTTTAGGTCAAGATTTCTCTTATTTCCAAATAAGGTGGCAGATTGAATAATTATACCTCAATAAAGATTTTTTTTAATCTCTTACAAAAAGACTTTCAGTATCATTTATTAAATTATAATTGTTTTGAATATTTTAGGTCAAGATTTCTCTTATTTCCAAATAAGGTGGCAGATTGAATACATGAATTTATCTTTATCTCTCCAAAATCCCACTAAAATGAGAGTAAAGGGATGAGAGGGCAAGGACAAAGATGAAATAAGAGATAATAAAGCCAAATTTTTGGAAGCAAAAAAGCATGGGGAAGAATGGTAATGACTTAGCTGAATCCTTAGCCAGTAGTGGGGAAAGCCAGGAAGCAGCATTTTTACCATGGAACCTCCAAAAGATTCAAGAATCGGCAGCATCAATAAGGGTAGAGATGGCACCATGAACAGAATTGGTTGAAGATTTAAGAAGCAGTTAGACTCACAGATCCCTTCTCCAGTTCCACATAGCTGGGACACTGCCCCATCTCATCTAGGACTAACAGTTTTTTGTTTTGTTTTGTTTGGGTTGGGTTGGGTTGGCTGGCCAGTACAACTAGCAGTTTTTATTACCTGGAAAGAGTAAAACAGAGGGTCTCTGGACTCGGAGAATACCAGAGACATGGAGGACTAGGGAAGATTAAGTAAAGTCTGCCTGTAAACGGAATATTAGGACTCTAGCTTTCTTCTCCATCTCAGTAACCAGAATATTGTTTGCCAGGCTTATACTCACCCTACCCCAGTAGAAGAATCATGGGAGAATCTAACCAGCCAAAGAAAAAAGCTTTAAAGATACAGGTAACAGGAGTTTTCTCAAAGAAATGGCCTAGCCATTTTAATAAACATCATAGTCTTCCAGTGCTACCCACAGGCTTTAAATAACTTTTAACAGGAGCAAACAAAATCACTAGACAACTGAGGAAAGTGTCTCACATAAAAAAGAAAGACCAAAACAAAAGAACAGACATACAAAAGGAACTTGGAAGAAACCAAGACTAAACAGGAGATGGAAACTTTTTAATGTCACTATTTTCCTCAGAGAGAGAAAGGAGATATTTAGTCTAAGAAAATAATTTTATATTTTTTAAAAGAACAGTCATAATGACAAATTGCCTGTGAAAATTAAAAATATAATACCAAAAATTTTAAACTCCGAAGAAGAGTTGGAAGATTAAGATAAGAAAAATCTCCCAGAAAGTAAAACAAGGAGACAAATAGAAAATAAGAAAGGGAACATAAGAACATGAGAGGAGTGTCCATGAAATCCAATATCGAGAAAGAAAATACATCATCAAAAACTTCAGTGACATTTTTTCAGAATTAAAGGCAATGGTTTGTTTCCAGATTAAAAGTCACATCGAAGGGTCCAGAATAATGAAAATTGAGGTTCAACAATGCCAATTATCATTAAGTTTCAGAACACCAGAAATAATGAGAAAATTGAATAAGTTTTTAGAGAGAAAGAAATAGGTCAAACACAAAGAAGCAGGCATGAGACTCATTAGAGGCTAAAAAACAATGGAGCAATGGAGCAAGCAAGGCCTGCAAGACACTGAAGGAAAACTGTGTCCAAACAGTCAAGTGTGAGAGTAAAGACAATTTCAGACTCACGTTCTGAACTTTTTACTGCCTTCATACTTTTTATCAGGAAGCTATTGGAAAATGTGTTTCTCCAAATAAGTGAATAAGCCAGAAACAAGAAAGACATGGGATCAAGGAAACAGGGTACCCAATTCAAAAGATCAAGAAATGGAAGGCCAGAATGACAGTGATAGATCAGAGTACCTGTGGAATAGATCCAAGGCTCCAGAAGAGATGTCACCAAGGAGATAAAATTAAGTCTGAATATATTGAGAGGAGATTTTCCACATACTATTTTGTATTATGGCACTTCACTGTGTTTTATTCCCCAAAACTAAAGCAAGAACCATTTTTTTAACTTCTTTCCCTGCACACACGTTAACTCGGTGCCCTACACATAGTAAGCATTCAAATATTTTTTGAATGAATGGGAGAATGGAATAGCTGTATGGGTACAGCATAGTATACACTGAAAAGGGCTCTATGGTAGATATGGAGTATCCTAACTTAGGACACTTCAGTATCCCGATGATACTGATTCATTCTAAATGAACGATGCTGAATGACACTGATTTATTCATCTACTTGAAGACCAAGAGGAGAATCATATTATGTTTTTATGGGGGGCAGTGTAGCCTATTGTTAGGGAGCAAGTAGGCTCTGCAGTCAGACAGTATGAATCCAAATTCCATCTCATTTCTTTGTAAATTGGTCAAGTTTCTTAACCTCTCTAAACTCTTATTTCCTGACTTTAAAATCGGGTTATTTATTCAGATTATTGTGAGGATGAGCTAATGCACAGGGTTTCATATCAGTTTCCTTGAGCTTTGGAATTCTGACTATAAATTCTCAAGTCTGAGATTACGGGAAAAGTCTGCATGAGAAAGGAACTTGCCCCGAAGTGGGAAAACCACCAACTGGGAGTCAGGATGTCTCCCAGATTATATTCGCTACACAGGTTAGCTGTGTAACACCGGCTATCGCTCAAGTTCTGCAAGTATAACTTCCCTCCTCTGCACATTCTCATTTGCTCCGCCCTGTACTCATCAGGCCAGGGAACCTGGAGGCGCCCGAGCGGGCCGAGAAGCCAGGCCTTGCCTCCAACTCTCCCGCCTGCTGCCCCTGCGGAAACCTCCCAGGCACGCCTCGCCCTTACAGCCGGTGGCGGTGGCGGTGGTGTTTGGGGTTTGGGGGGCCACGAGAGGGCAGCATTCTCCCGACCCACCATACACCTACCCCTCGCAACCGTAAGCCTAGCTTATAAAGAAAAGAACACGACACTAGAGTCCTTGAGCTTCCCTTCCATTTCACCTCTCGCGTCGCCCCTGATCGGTTTTATTAAAGGAGCAGCTTCTCAAAGCTGGTCGGGTAAGTACGGCCGAGAGCAGGAGCTCTCGCGAGATCGCCGCCGGAAGTGGGTGGCGGCGGCGGGGACTCAGCGGCTGCTTGTCCGGAAGGCGAGCGCTTCTCCCGAGCTGTTACAGCCGACCGGCCCCGGCCCTCTCCTCGGAGGAAGAGCCAGCCCCGCCGCGGCCTTCCCAGCCCCGAGCTCGCGCTCCCGGCTTCCCGGGCCGCACAGCTGCGCGGCGCGCCCACTGAGGCCCAGCCTGAGGAGCCCTCGCAGCCCTCGACCCCTCCCTCCGCGCTGCAGTTAGGCCGCGCCCTCAGGCCCAGTCCGCGGCGGCCCCGGCGGGTGATGCCAAATACGGCCATGAAGAAAAAGGTGCTGCTGATGGGGAAGAGCGGGTCGGGGAAGACCAGCATGAGGTCCATTATCTTTGCAAACTATATTGCTCGCGACACCCAGCGCCTGGGTGCCACCATTGATGTGGAGCACTCCCATGTCCGATTCCTGGGGAACCTGGTGCTGAACCTGTGGGACTGTGGCGGTCAGGACACCTTCATGGAAAACTACTTCACCAGCCAGAGAGACAACATCTTCCGTAATGTCGAGGTTTTGATTTACGTGTTTGACGTGGAGAGCCGCGAACTGGAAAAGGACATGCATTACTACCAGTCTTGTCTGGAGGCCATCCTCCAGAACTCTCCTGATGCCAAAATCTTCTGCCTGGTGCACAAAATGGATCTGGTTCAGGAGGATCAGCGTGACCTGATTTTTAAAGAGCGAGAGGAAGACCTGAGGCGTTTGTCTCGCCCACTGGAGTGCGCTTGTTTTCGAACATCCATCTGGGATGAAACGCTCTACAAAGCCTGGTCCAGTATTGTCTATCAACTGATTCCCAATGTTCAGCAACTCGAGATGAACCTAAGGAATTTTGCCCAAATTATTGAAGCCGATGAAGTTCTGCTGTTTGAGAGAGCTACGTTCTTGGTTATTTCCCATTACCAGTGCAAAGAGCAGCGTGACGTCCACCGATTTGAGAAGATCAGCAACATCATTAAGCAGTTCAAGCTGAGCTGCAGTAAATTGGCCGCTTCTTTCCAGAGCATGGAAGTTAGAAATTCTAACTTCGCTGCTTTCATCGACATCTTCACATCAAACACGTACGTGATGGTGGTTATGTCGGATCCGTCGATCCCTTCTGCAGCTACTCTGATCAACATTCGCAATGCCAGGAAACACTTCGAGAAGCTGGAGAGAGTGGATGGCCCCAAGCACAGTCTCCTTATGCGTTGAATATGCCAAATGCTCTTTCTAAAAATGAGTTGCTTTTTTTTTTGCACCCCTCATTTTTAATATTCAATGTCGTGTGCTTAAAAGTGGGCTTTAAATGTGTGCTTCTTACTACTTCCATCTTTCTTCCTTACTCCCCAGTCTTTAAACGTTGGACGCTATTTACTCAGCTATCCAGTAGAGCTTCAAGATGGCCTTTCTCAAAAGTTGGTATGGTGTAACACTAAAGTAGGTGGTTTGTGTGTATTCTGATTACCTGGTTATAGTAGATAATGCACATCAAAGCCTTTACCAATATCTTCCCTGTATTCCTTATCAGATTGCAAAGATGGAATGTTATTTTATCAGCAAGGTATTAAAATGCATTTATAAATTCTTTGCTTCTATTATGAATAATAAACATTTGCTGTTAGCAATCTAATATATGGTCTTATTTGAAACAATTTGAAGGTACTTAATATGTAAATCTAAGATTCTGACTGCCCACAGGTATTGCTTAACTGAAAAATTTGTTTTTGTGAGCTCAGCCCCCACCATTTTAGTGATGCTTGATAGCACCTGTGCAGTGGTTAAGATTATTGACTCTGAAGCTATACCACCTGAGTTAATATTCTAGCCTTTTCACTTACTAGCTCTGAACTTGAGCAAGGTAATTTCACTGTGCTTTCCTCATTTGTAAAATGTGGATAAGAATACCGCTGATTTGTAGAATTATTAAAAAGATTAAAACAGCACGGAAAGCATTTAGAACGGTGCCTAGTTCATACTCAGTACTAATTGTTAGCTGTCATTACCACCTACTGAACTATTCTTATTTGTAGAATTATTAAAAAGATTAAAACAGCACGGAAAGCATTTAGAATGGTGCCTAGTTCATACTCAGTACTAATTGTTAGCTGTCATTACCACCTACTGAACTATTCTTCCCCAAATTACTGGATGTGAAGCCTGGCTAAATATTTGAACCCTTGCTAAAAGCCAGGTGTTCATAAGTACTTGATGTGTGCATTTTTCTTAATCCTCACAACGTATGAGGTGGGTTACTTTTATCATTTAATAGATGAGAAAACTGGTATGACCTTATTAAGCTAAACCCAGGCAATCACTCTCCCCCTCTCCTAACCATTATACCCTACTACTTCCTCCATTGATAGAAAAATTAACCATAAAAATCCTAGCTTTTCAGGTGTAGATTATTCCTTCATGTAACTCCAAAATTTACATACTTAGGAAGCTGAAGCCCAGGAAATTGAGTTCTCTCAAGGAATAGTGTTTCACTCACTTTGGGCAAGATCACATTTCTATTTGTATTTATCTAGAAATTGAATAATAAGTCAGATTCTTAGAGTACCTACTTTTGGGGAAGGATTCTGAGGTTCCTAATTTGGCAGTGTGGTATAAGACCTGAAATGACCCATTCCAGTTCTAGCAATAGCCATCTTGTAGATTAATTTTTTGGGCAGTTGGCTGATACAGGGATCCAGACCTGTGTCCTTGGTTTTACTAGCACCACACTCTCCCAAGTGAGCTAACTGGCCAGCCTGTTTTAAATGAAATCTGAGTATTTTACAGCCAAAAGACCTCTGATCAACTCCTGAGCCTCTCATTTTACAGATGAGGCAATATCTTTGTATAGATAGTAATATAAGCTTTGGATGACAGGGTCACTACCCATAAAGAGTAAGAAGCTATTCAGATGTAAATTTAAAAATCATCTCATTAGGGCCATTGGCAAGTAGTATAAAGACTCCAAATGAGAAAACTCTTGACAGTATGGATATACTTTTAAAATCATTTTAAAATACTATATGTAATAAACCTAGTAATTAAAATGACAGTAACAAAATACTCTTACCTGAATTTGTGAACTTCTCACATTTCTTTTGTTGACCGAGTTATTAATATACTTTTATATTGATCATTTCATGGTTTTCAGGGCATGGTTTTTTGATATATATGAAATTCCAGAGCCAGATTGTATAATATTAAAAATTTATTCAAGACAATAGTACGTAGAATATATTTACAAATAGTCTCAGAGGATTCAAATATTTTAAACTTAGGATGTGACTGTGCATAAGGAAAAAGGTGATCTCCAGAGCAACTATGTATCTGCAACTTAATGCAAAAGAGAACTTTACTTCAGCAAATACCTTCTTTAAATTGAGGAAAATGCCTTTAAACATATTTTCTTTAATACACTCAGAATAGTATATTTTATGCAGGTCCTAAGAATTCGTATTTTTCCTTTAGATAAGATTGACTTCATAGGCATGGTAAAGAAAAGATTTCAAAATACTTGTCAGTATTTTTTTCAGTTAAATTGTCCCTAAATGTTATTCTTTAATTTCAACTACTCTTTATGCCACTTGATAACATTTTTCATGTTTAGCAACATTACATGCTTGTCCTCTTTAAACATTTAAAAATAATTAGGACATTTTGGCATTATCTAAATGTAGAAGTCAGTTTACACACCTTTATATTTTTACAAATAATGAATAAAACAAGGTACATTCCATATAATCTGATAAGAATGTAATAAGAAAAAATACATTTAAAGCAATAAATTAGCCCACTTTACCATTACTTTTATTCCATCATGTAGGAGGCAAACAAAACAATTCCAATACTTAAGTATTTGCTAAAGATGGCACATGGCCCTTGGGGTATATGTATGTGTGTGATATACAAGGGTACTTCAGAAACTCTACTCTACAAGGGTACTTCTTTGAACTCTACTCTAGAATTAGCAATGAATCATTAATGGAATTTAAAGCAAGGAAGTGACATGGTCAAAGTAGTTCCTTAAGGTCAAAAGGCAACTATGCAGGAGATACTGGATAGTGAAGAGGCTGAAGGCAAAAAGTTGCAATCACAATGGTTTAGGAGAAGAAAGTGATAGATGTGAGGTATTTTTACTTATGGTACTGGCACACGAAGAAGAGGGAAGGATGTCAAGCCTATCACAGGTATAACTCAGTGTGATTTTCGTAAAACCACAATGTCCAGAGGTATTTTGATCTTTTGATCCTCAGTAATTAAGGGCTTTATTGGTGAACTTGGCTTCCCATCAGATAGCGATCTCTAAAGCAGTATATATGTGATAATGTACCTGCTTCTTAAAGGTACCCAAGGGCTAAATATGAATCTGTATCCCATAAGTGATTATGAAACTTCTTTGAGCCTAAGAATGACCAACGAAGCATACAGATTCCTAATCCCTGTTTTAGACTTGCATTTTTTAAGATGCAACCCAGATAATCCTAGCACAAATGGACCTTGAGTCCATCTTAAACACATCATTGAAGCTCCCTAGCTTCAGTATCATCTGTAAAATAGGTATTAATTGCTATCTTACAGTTATGACAATTAAATAATTTGTATTAAGTATCTAGCAAAGGCCCTGGCACTTCTGCAGATGCTAATATGATAGCCCTGTCTTTTCCCTAACATGTTAATTTTTGATTTACAGATACTGGGTTTTCTTTTTTAGTTGTCATTGGCTGGTCAGTATGGGGATCCAAACCCTTGACCTTGGTGTTGTAACACCCCACTCTAATCAAATGAGCTAACCAGCCAACCATGAGTTTTCTTAAAACAACTAGAGATTTCCCAGTAGACCTACAGAGTCACTAATTTCTTGTATTAACTAATAAAGGAACATAGCACCTTAGGAGAAGCTTTTCTCTTCCTCTTTTCCACTGCAAAGAAGGAAGTTATATGTGCTATCTTAAGACTGGTCTTCAAACTGGGTCAGGACAAACAAAGAGAAAAAGGCAGCCCAAGATAAGTGAAGAGAGATGAACTATTAAGCCCATTTACTTCCAGAACTCTCCACTCTCCCCTCCAACTTTTCTCCTCTCCTTGCCAGTTTCCTGGGGGCTAGTGGACAGGGTTTGAAGGTTATGAGTTGGGGCCCTATAGAGGGTACTATAGGTGCTATCACTCTTCTGGTGCCTGTTCCACTGCTCCTGGTTCACAGAGGGCAATGGCGTACGTTCACTTGGATGCTACAGACAAGCCGTTTCTGGGCCAGGGGGCCCGACAGAATGAGGCAGAAGACTGTACAAGTGTTACAAGTTATTTAACCCCAAGTTCAGTTTTCTCAAGTTATTCTGGGGCTATTCTGTAAGCACTGGCAAACTTCAATGGTTTTTGAGTAGTAAAGTAACAATCAAAACTACCTCCTATCCCCAAAACAGCAACCCACCCCACCCCTCCAAAAAGCCAACATCAATAAAACACTAATGAATTTTTTTAATTTATATTTTTGTTAAAATATATAACTAGAATCAAATTCTCAAAGTCTAAATTAGACTAAATATAAACCTATTATACAATCCACTGAATGGATTTATAGTTTGACAGTGTTCCTTAAAAGTGGCTAGTCATCTTCTTCCATCTTTTTTCTTTTTTTAAATCATTCTGCCCCAGTCTTCACTTATCATCACATGCACTTTATTCCATCAAACATCATTTCTCAGGAACAATCTACTTGGATAATCATCAAGCCTGTTTACAGCTTTCCCAGTCTTAAAATCTGTCATCTTGACTACACATCCCAAGGTACTACTTTTCTTACTTTTTTTGGTTAGTACCAGAATGTTCCATAAAGAAACAATAGAAGTTATATATTTTTCTAAAATGAAAGTTCAGTATATTCAATGGCTATAATATTAACCACTTAGTGAAAGTATAGCAAACAGTACTCATCCTTATGTTAATTATCTGAAATTTTAGCACAATAAACTACTACTTTTATCATTTACTTAATGCTTACAAGAGTATTCAAGAAATCAAAATGGCTTCCCAAAACTTGATATTTGCTTTCAAAATACTTTACATTTAAATCCCATATCCCTATAAATAGAAAAAACCCAAACATACTTTCCTTACCTAAAAACATTACAGGAGGCTAAAAGGCATTAAGGATTTTTTAGACCTTGAAAGAGTGCTACACTTCTAACGTGTATTTAAGTTGTAAATCAGTTTCTATCCTGTGACATAGCTTTGATTTAAGTGCATCATAATCAAATTAACTGGGTACTGCTTGATCTTGTCAAATCAGATGGAGAGTCGTTTACACCAAGGCTCTTATTCAACATGTCGTCTTCTGCAAAATTGATTTTAAAAGAAAGAAGGGATAAGCAAACATTACAAAAAATAAATAAATAGGACAGATTCCAAATAGTAGCAAATTTCAGTCTTCAGGGAAATAAAAGGCTCACACTTATGCAAATACTCAAGTATGATAAAATTACTATTATTCTCACTAAAATACCCTTTCTCCAAAGATCAATACATTCCTCCTAGAATACTTTTCAATATGCCAGCGTTTAATAATCATGGATAAATCAATTATATATAATAAATTTGTATTACCAGATCCACATTTATCCTGACATGCTATTAGAGCAATTTTTTAAATTATTTATATAATGAAAGTTTTCAAATATACAAAAGTGGAGAGAATTATGATTAGCCCAATGTATCCACCACACCTAGTTTCAATAATTATTAACACTGTTATGGGTTGAATTGTGTCCCCCAAAAGAGGTGTGTTGAAGTTCTAACCCCAGTACCTCAGAATGTGACCTTATTTGGAAAAATGGTCATTACAGATATAATTAGCTAAGATAAGGTCATACTGGAATAGGGTGGGCCCTTAATTAACTAATACAACTGGTGCTTGTATAAGAAGATACACAAGACACACAGACACACAAGAACACTATGTGAAGATGGAGACAAAGATGAGAATTATGCTGCCACATAAACCAAGGAACACCTGGTGCCAACAGAGATTGGAAGAGGCAAAGAAGAATTCTCCTCTAGAGGGCCTCAGAGGGAACATGGCCCTGCCAACACCTTGATTCTGGACTTCTAGCCTCTAGAAATTATTGTCTCCAGAACAATAAATTTCTGTTGTTTTAAGCCACCCAGTCTTGGCACTTTGTTATGGCAGCCTTAGGAAACTAATACACTGACCAACCTTGGTTTTGTTTCTACTCCCCACTCCCACCAAATCTTTTACAAAGCACATCACAGATAACATACCACTACTAGTGTTTAACTTTTTTAAAACCACCTTCCAGTAGACAAGAAGATTTTCATGAGATTCACTTTCAGTAGCTTTTATTACAAAAGCGATAAGTTTCAGGTCTGGGGGGTTAATTCCCATCCCTGTATCAAACATATACATATCAATAGAGATTCGGAAAGTACCCATAAAGTGAAGCTCACTCCTCTCATCCAAGAATAGAGCATATTTTGTCATATTAACAACAAAGATCATGCAGCATTCATTGTGTACTATTTTTATGAAAAGTTGAGAGAAAACTTCAACAGGTGAATATGCACAGGTCTAGTCAAATCTTACCTTTTAAATTAGGTAGAAGTTCTCCAAGATTACACGGTACTGTGGTCCTCAATCTTTGCTCCACTGGAGAAAACTTAATTAGGGGTGAAAGAGAACGTTTTCTTTCCCCAAGGGATGTGCGTAAAGATGATTTTGTATGGTCAATGTGCAAATCATGTGTATCCAAAAAGTTAAGCATATCATCTGTTTCCATGTTTTGGGGAGTAGGGCTCAATTCTGGTTCATGTCTTTCAAGTGTTTCAAGATTAGAGATGTAAGATGCTTCCCTTTTCTTGGAAAGAGATTTCTTCAGAGCCTCATACCTACTGTAAGTAGCATTTAAATTGAAGTCTGATTCTGGAGTATTATGTCTTTCTCCCACAACATCTTCTGGAAAAATGCCACTGTGCACAGGACTATTTGGTTCCAGTTTAAAATTGGCCTCTGAACTACTGGAGCTATTCAGACTTAGGTGACCAACTTCTGGAAGAGTTTCATGTAATATGCCAAAATCAATATCCTTAAAACTCTTAGAACTAATTCCACTTGATATCTGAAATGAGTCCCATAACATAGTTGTATGCGTGGAAGGCTCCTTATGAGAAGCTTGTGAGTGGTCCAATATTTTAATATACTCTTCACTGCTACCCACCACATTTATACTATTGCCTACAGCAGGGAAGAATGTCTCTGTTTGGCTAGGTTCTGAAAGCTGGGTTGGTAAAGCTGTATATTCCAAATCTTGCTTGCAAATTATATCCTTATTTAGCAAATCTGACTGACTTTGTGTTGGTGGTTCACCTGTGTGACTGGTCACCACATGTTTCTGAGGCACACACTTAAGGCAGTCTGAAACAACTTTCTCTTCAGGCAAATGAGAATGGCAAAGATCTGATTCAGTGGTTGCTGAGAGAAAACTGGCCATGCTAAATTCTCTTTGATTATGTAACACAGGTAAGGATTCTGGCAATACTTCTCTACGTTCAGTATCCACTTGAATTGGTTTTGTCCTGTTATCTTCCATTTCAACAGCTTTTCTCCATGAGCTCCTAATTTCAGTTACTAATGAAAGGGGGAAAAACACAATCTACTAATATTCCCAAACACAGAGCATGCAATTTTACATCATATTTCCAGTGCTGAAGATAAAGCTACTGACTCTGCATGCTCCATAAATATAATGGCTGGATGACAAAGCTCCACAATATATCAAACCCCAATAATATCAAAGAATTCCAATCTCCAACTGATCAAACACAAGTAAACACATATAACAAAAGCTAATCCTGAAATGTGCATATACTTTTACTCAGCATATATAAATTACATATCTTCCTAAGACATTTTCTTGTCCATCTAGGCCAGGGTTTGGGAAACTTTTTCTGTAAAGGGCCAGATAGCAATATTTTAGGCTTTGCAGGCCACCCATTCTGTCACAACTACTCAACTCTGCCATTGTAGCATGAAAGTAGCCATAAACAATATGTCAACAAATGAGCAAGGCTGTGTTCAGTACAATTTTATTTACAAAAACACACAAGGCAGGACCAGTTTTGGTTCACAGGCTATATAGTATACTGACCAAGGCCGTGGCTCAGTTCAACTTGAATTAAATCAGCAGCAAAATGGAAATTATATTTAATCATTCAACCACGATAATCTGCCTACATAAGGACGCCAGTATCACAATTTTGTCTACACAAATTATAGGTTATAGGGAAAAAAGTATCAGGCAATCTGACTAGTTTGGGAGGGGTAAAGATCTATGCACACATAGTTTTTGGCTGATATTCTGGTTGTTAACTGAGAGAACATAGCCTCTATATTCTATAAATATGGATTCCAGGTCAGATCTGGAGGTAGAGAGTTTTTAAAAGTGATCAGATAAAATACTTTCCAGAAAAAGCCAAGTAAAACAACAAAAACAAAATTGTATATTACCAGAGCTGATTATACCTCTGTATAATTGAAGATAAAGCTACTGACTCAGTGCATGCTCTATAAATATAATGGTTATTCTGAGTATAATAAAGACACAAAATAATACTACTGAAAGACTGCTGTATAAGTGAGTGCCCATACTTAATACTTCAATAAAAGTCCCTTCAGAATAGTCATTGCCAAATAAACAGAAAAGAGTTTTAAAATATGTGGCCTAAAGATCTTTCAGACTGTGGATCTAATAATGTTAATACCTAAGAAAGAAAAAAGGATAGAACGCATTAACTTACTCAAGTTTTCTGGAGTACGGGGAATTTGTTTCCTTGTTAAGAAGGGATTAGATACCAGAGAGTCAATTAGTTCCTCTAATTTTACTTCATTTCCTTCAGAGAGCTGTGGTGAATCAGATAAAACTGCCCTGGCAACCTAAAAGAGAAAAGCAAAAGTAAAGCAAAAATTACCAAGCCCACTGGTAGAAAGAATAGTAAGGACTTCACAGTCAGCAGCCTTTCCCATAACAGATACCTCAAAATAAGCAACAATGAAGCTTCCAGATACTCTGTATATCATCTTAGGTACAATCCTGTAAAGTGAAATGAAGCACAAAACTATTTCCTCTTTTATCTTAAATGAATAACCCATTATAAAGGAGAGAACAGATAAGGATCTTTACACTTTGGGAGATTTAGGAGCAGTTCTGATTATTCAGTGACCTAAGCTGTTATCTGCCACATCTTTGAGCTTTGCAACTCTGTATTTGATAAAAATGACTAGTTTTAAAGCAAGCAAATTCTTCTTAATCATAATCCATTTGCACAGTGATACCTCTATTCACAAACAGAATACATTCTGACAACATACTTCTTTGCCAGAAACTTCATTTTCAGATCTAAATTAGTGAACAAGGCATAGGGACACTCTAAAATAGAGAAAAGGAACTGTACAATATGAAAATAGCACTCTCTATTAACTAAATACCAATAAAACTGGAAAATAAAAGCATGCAAATTAAAATCTCTGCCCCTTTAGGTCACTAAAAAATACACTTCCTGAAACCATAATCATATTGGCCCAAGAAAAGAGAGGGCTTCTTGGAATTCAAATACTAAATACCCATTGTTGTAAAGAAAATTAAAGAAAATTAATTTCACTTTCCTTTCAGAGTTTTATGAGATTTTAGGACTCTTCCTCTTCTATCCCATCCCATTCCACTGCCAATCTAAATTCCTTTATCCAGAAAATGTGCCTTTCCTTCCACAATTAAGTAATAAAAAGAAACCAACTGACCATCTTTTCTTTAGCATAGAGTCAATAAAGAAAAACAATAGAACTTTAGAGATTTAAAAGTAGAGACCATGAAACTGGTCCTCATGTTACAAACAATAAAAATAACTGACATCTATTTCTCTTATTTGGGCAATGCTCATTTAGTTTGATCAGGATTGGGATAAAGGAGGGAACTCCAATACCTGAATTAATATCCACTAAACCAAATTTCCCTTTCAGTCAGTCTCTCAGGGAAAAAAAGTAACTGATTTATTTTCTGGCTGCTTAGCGAAATTCAAACAATGTTTGTATGCTATGGGAAATATGTAAAAAAAATAACATTAATGGCCGGCCCGGTGGCGCCCTGCGCTAGTGCGCCGCTTGGGAGGCGTGGAGGCGCTTCCACCGCTTCCGCCGAGGGTTCGGATCCCCGGAGGCGCTTCCACCGAGGGTTCGGATCCCACATACAGACCGGTTCCCGCTCACTGGCTGAGCGGTGGAGGCGCTTCCACCGCTTCCGCCGAGGGTTCGGATCCCACATACAGACCGGTTCCCGCTCACTGGCTGAGCGAGTGGAGGCGCTTCCACCGCTTCCGCCGAGGGTTCGGATCCCACATACAGACCGGTTCCCGCTCAC